AAAAAAAAAAAAAAAAAAGCCAGCCAAACCCACAAACCACACACAGAGCTAACACTTCTCCTAAGTTGCCCTACCTGTTGGCACCACTGTGCCAAACCTGTAACACACAACAGCAGAGGTACTTCATACTACTAGGAAGTCAAAATGCCTCCTCAAACCTTTGGGTTGCTTTTCACACTTCCAAGTATTACGCTGGCAAAAGGCCAGTTGGCTCACATCAACTACAATCAAACTACCTGAGATTGCTTCTATTGATATTAATGTTTCTAGAGGAATTCAAATTCAGCTGCTCTAGAAAACAGCACAGTCTACCTCGCTGGGGAGCTTGTATCACATGGGGAGGGATCCCTCTGTCCTGACTGACCACAGGAGCACAGCCAGACCTGCCAGACTCCACAGAATCTGTTGTACGCTTGTACAACAACTGGGTAAAACTGTGTCATGTATTTAACCTCCCTTGTCTCAGTCTTGCATTTCTCTTTGCCACTGCCATTTTATTTTCTTTCTTTACTAGACAAGACAAAAAAGGAGAATCCCGAGACAATCATCTTTTGTGAGCAGATGCCAAAAACTGTATTAAAAAACCAGCACAGTGCAGCAAGTAGGGAATATGAGAAATTTAGTGTGGAACGAGAACAACAGAAATACATCATGTATCACAAAGGTTTTTTTATGTACTCTTAAGAACACTAAACATCTGTCTTTCTGAAGAGAAAGAAAATCAGTATGTTTATTGAAAGCCTGTTATTATCATAGATAGTGTGAATGCTAGAATAGCATTCCCAATTTCATTCTTTGTGCAGCAGAAGACATACTAAAGCAGCAGAACGTTCCAAACACTAACTTGAAGACTCGAAGGGAGATCTAAAAGCAAGTGGGTTACATACAAGAAATTTCTCTTTAATAAAACTTCTTGTATGGCACAGTAACACTAAAGCTGAGGAGGGCAAACACCCACACTTGCTGTCTCTGCTGCAGAGCAAAGGGAAGATAGAATTGGACAGCTCAGTAGAGAAATCAGGTTATTTTAAACTGGCATAGAAAGTTTAAGGCATAACCATTATTTCCCTTCCAAAAAAGGGCTAAACCTTGGAGCTCCAGGCAGGATTCAGTGGGTGAAAGCAATACTTCCTACACCCTGAGAAAAGGCTGAGCCCAGCTCTGAGAACAAGCCTGGGGCTTGTAAAGCTTTACAGTCTTGAAGGATGAACTGAAAAGGTTTGTTTTCCAAACAGGCAATTGTCTCCTCCAGGCAATGTCACTTCCAACTGCTTTTTCTTTTAGTATTTATCAGTTTCCTTGCTTTAAACATTTCCTAGCGATCATCACCTAAAAACACAGCGGAGTAACAGTGCAGAATACCTTCTTATTCCGCTTTAGGAAGTGGTATCCCAGGGAAAGCTGCTTGTAAGCCTCCCCGTACTTCTCGTGCCAGTCCTGCACCGCCTTGATGGCCGCTTTCCTCAGCTTCTGCGCCACCTCCTTGGGCGGGGGAAGGGGCTGCTCGTGGTCTATGCCCACCGTGAGCTCCAGGAACTCCTGGAAGTTGGCGATGAGCAGCGTCCTGAACTGGTGGGACCTGGCGAAGAGCTCCTGCACCACCTGGAAGGCGGAGAAGCGCATCTCGGCGTGCTCCTCCTGCAGCCGCGTCACCAGCAGGTGGAAGGCGTGGCTGATGTGCTCCTCCGACGACCTGGGCAGGGAGACAAGGGAGGAAAAGGAGCAGGAGTTACTTAACGAGAGGCTCGGCACAGAAAAACAGAAGCTCGCGGGGGTTTTTAATTTATTTTAAATTTTAAACCAGCAGTGTCTGTGCTGGCAGCACCCAGGCCCCCGACAGCACCCAGCCCCCTACAGCAGGGCCCAGGGCGGCTCCCGGGGCGGCTCCGCGGCTGCCCGGCCCGGGCACAGACAGCGGGGCCCCGCTCGTTCCCTCCCTGCGACCGTACTTGCAGATCTTCTTCAGCTCCTTCATCCTGCCCGGCTCCAGCCGCGGCTCTCCGGAGGTGGTGAGCTCCTCCACCAGCTCGGCCAGGCGCTGGTCCATGTCGGCCGGCAGCAGAGCTGCCGGGCCACTCGCCCCGCCGGGTGGTACCTTCCTCACCCCGGAGGAGCCCCGGCCGGGCTCCGGCAGCGCCCACGGGCCCAGGCGCGTCTGGGCGGCGCCATCTTCGGCTCTCAGGGGAGGCCCCGCCCCAATGGCCCCGCCCATCAGGGAACGAGCTCCCGCCCCTCAGAGGAGGCCACGCCCCTCAATGAACCCCCGCCCCTCGGGGCTCCCCCCCC